CTTCGGTTCTTGAAATCACAACATCACTTCAAGAAGCTCCCGACTCGACTGCCCTTTGAATTTCGATCAATTTGATTTCCAAAGTAGTCTGTCCTGCAGGAAAGCCAGTTGCAACTAGAATATAACAAAACACCATTCAATTTGGTAAGAATCATTTCATACAGACTGTAAAAAAAGGTAATGCAAATCCAGGTTGGGTATTCAGTAAACTGAAAGCACGCATTAGTAATGACTATAGCGATATGCCAACTAAATAACATGTTGTGTGTTAGCATATGGAAAGGGTATCGGGTGACAAAAAGGCAAATATTAAAATTTGGAAGACAGTTTTAATGGAAAAACTACGAAGAAAAAGCTGCTTTTTGAACTGTTTTTTTAATCAGAGTTTGAAGCCATATTCACCAAATACTTAAAATTAAAAAATATATCTGTTTTTCTTTCTTTTTTTCAAAACAGTTTTTTTTCTTCAAATTTCACCTTCCCTGCATAATAAAGCTTGGGGAGATGTATAAGTATAAAACTATTAACAGCTTGAAAAGATTGAATTAAGCACAATAAGAATTCTCATGATAACCCCGAAGAAAACTGATAAAATAGATTCCAACTTCGAACCATATTTCCTGAAATAACTAGAAATCCCCTTGATTATAATTTCCCACCAACTGCAAACCCAGGCTGGGTAATCAATGATTCAAGGGCAAGCAATTTCAAATGGCTAGAACAATATGCCAACTATAGAGATTGATTAATTCATGATGTATGAGAGCATATCGTTTAAGTCAGGGGTGTGCAACCTTTAATAATACAGGAGGGCCAGATAGAAATAACTGGGTGAAACCATGGGCCGCACCTTATTAACATAGGCTATCTAGTCGTAGGAACGAAAATTTTGGTCATTGATTTTGTGACATGCGTTGTTCGCACAAACTAGATGTTAATAAGACATTGTAAGGTCATAGGCATGGATAATAAATTGGACCCATGTATGGACACAGCGTAATGGGATTAGAGTTCTTTATACATAAAAAAAACTTGTTTTGCAATCTGCACATCATTCAAAATTTGCACTTCTCCTCGTGCTGCAAAATTTTTCCTTGAGAGCTGCAGGTTGAACACCCCTGTTTGCGTAAATAATAGTAATAGGTCGAACTAAACCGTGATCCCACCTGATGCAACAGGAATATTATTGATTCCAGTCGCCTGCAAACATTGAACTGCTTCTTGCACTCTGGCTGGGTAGACACACACAGCTTCTACTGTTATACCTGGAGATTGCAATTCATTGCATTACAAGACAAAATAAATGGTAGGAATGATAAAAAATATGAAATAATTTGTATTTAGTCATCCCAAGAAATATAGGTACTGCCGTAGTATGTGTACCAAGTTAGGATTAGGCCATAATTTTATTCCACATTTCTTTTTTTAGTTCTATTACGAGTTCGGGGACCATCTGTGTTAGCCAAGTGAATACACCCTCTGCCCAATGGCTTCTGTCCCTTTACACAACTTGATGTAAAGTAGGCGAACAAAATTAGTTACCTCCATATTGGTACACATACTTCTGGAGCGCTGGAATATAATATTTAAATACATTTGAAATTAAATGGACTTAATAATATTCGCGAGTTTTCTATTTTAGGATGAAGTTTGATTGGAATATTAAATCTGTATTATTGAAAGATAACTATCTAACAAAATATGGGAGTTAGGTTCTAATAACTGTAAAAACAGAATATAATAGATAAAAATATAATAATATTAAAAACAAAAGAAATAAGAATACTTTCAAGCATTTCCAAATTCTATCTCTATAATATGCATTAATTAGGGCAGGGGTCGGGAACCTTTTTGGTCAAGAGAGCCATAAAAGGTACATATTTTCAGCTTCATTTCTGTGCGAGCCATATAGCATTTCTTCACTTAATCAGGCCTGAAATTTTTCTTAATGGTCAATACATACAATGCCAATATACATTTAATGTGACTTCTGATGCTTCATGTTGTCGCTGCGGGTCTTGGAGGGCTGCTCACATGCAGCACAAGTTGAAATCTACTATACTCATCACCCTTCAATTCGTTTAGGTATCTCCGTAGTATTTCAAAAACTAGCTTTGCTAGTCCGATTCAAATATGACATACACCATAACTAGTACGTACAAACGGACTAAAAGCTTTATGCTATTCCAGAGACCCCTAGTTTTGCCACAATGCCTGTCTGGTAATTCTCTTGGACAACATAGACATGCGCTGTGCGCGTTCACAAACGTATGGCAGATTTCTTCCCAAATTTGGCTATAAAAGTTTCCGATTTAAATATTACGTACGAACGGACTAAAAGGTTTTATGCTATTCCAGAGACCCCTAGTTTTGCCACAATGCCTGTCTGGTAATTCTCATAGATAACATAGACATGTGCTGAGCGCGTTCTCAAACGTATGGCAGATTTTTTTCCAAATTTGGCTATAAAAAGTTCGAAATCTAGTAACATTAGTAAGCTTGGCCTTAGAATACTAGATTTTTCTGGGAGCAATATGCCGCCACCAAAAGAGCCATGTATGCCTCGCGAGCCATGGGTTCCCGACCTCTGAATTAGGGCTTGTTTTCCCTATTGAACGAATCAACTTAAAATATATATGGGAAAGTTTCCAGAATAGTCAATTACTTGATTTTGAATATTATAGATTGCAAATATTTCTGTTTCTGAATATTCATACAATTAATATGAGAAAATTATTCCAGAATGTTTTCAGATTCGTAATTTTTTTATTCTGGCCTTCCTGAAAAATACTCCACAGGAGTCTACATTACAGTCATTTTTATACTCCTTGCCTGACAAATGCAAATTGAATGCAATTACCGATTGTTCTATACCGGTAGTTCTCAAACGTGGGGCGCGCTAATTGAAAATAGCATTTGTTAGATTTGATCTTGTCCACCTTATTTTTTTATATTTACATCCCATCCATGCATTGTCAACATGTTTTTGAATGAAACATACTTTCGCCTAACTATCCGTTATTTGTAGATCATTGTTAACTACCGTAGTTATTTTTGAGATGGTGCACTTGACAAATTCTAAAAAGGGGGCGTTTCTCAAAAAGTTTGAGAACCACTGTTCTATTCAGAAACAGAAAACTTGCAAAGCAATATCTCACCAGCATTCTTTCATGTCTAAGGCTTCAATTAAATCATCTCTGATTGGATGTTGAGCTTTATAGCAAAGTCTTTGTACGTTCAAAAAAATGTCATCTCCTGATAAAGTCGTTAAATCAAAACATGTTGTTGCTCTCAATAACCAGGCCGCCTGTTTGAAAATAATTTTTTGTGCCTGATATATAATTGTGTTCGAACAAATGTTAGAGTTTTTTGTAAAATATCCAATTTTATAAAGGTGGATATTGATTTTAAAAGATAATTTTATTATGGCTCGAAAAGTTTCTGCCATGCTTTTTTAACAGTTCTTTTTTTTTGGCAAAGTTTCTGCTCTTCTATGTACAGCGGGAAGATTTACTATAGTTCGTTGAACCCAAATAAATCTGTAATACAGTACGGCACACTATACAGATCAGGCGACATTGTCTCGTTTCAGAGAAACCCATTTTACTAATGATCAGACACCCCTCCTTTGGGAGACGTCTGGACATTGTTGTCCCTCAATATCGGTAAATATACAGTATAATGAAGTTGCGAAAATACTACAAAGCGCAATCTAATAACGTCATCATTGAATTCCTCTGGAAAAAATAATCCGATTTCGTGGCATTCAAGAGTTTTTAGCAAAAAACGGCAATTTTGGTCATGTGACGGTCGCGATTAATTTAGATTATTATTGATACAAGCATGGCGCGATCTGACGTGGTGCCAGATGCCCCTCGTTTGTGAGACTCATTGAGTGTTTGTTTTATTGAACCAAATGGAGAGAAATTCTTGGAATTTGTATAGTGTGCCATACTGTAATAGAACAAAGTTACAACGATTCACCATATACAGTAATACCATAAGAAGAGCACAATAATTGCATGCATACGGTACTGGAAATCAGGCAATGGTAGAGTGATTGCAGCATCATTTAATTTGCGGTACTGATTTAGTAAACTTGGGTACCGGTACCGTATAATACCGGCTGACCGGTAACTCAGTAACTGGTTATTCGGTTGGAATAACCATACCGATACGGGTCTTACTACTTACTGAATACAGCGCGAAACATCGCAAAGAGCGCAAAACACCGCGAAACAGCGCAAATCAGAGGAAAACAGCGCGAAACAGAAGGAAACCAGCGCAAAACAGAGGGAAACAGCGCAAAACAAGACACACAGTCGTTGCCACCTCCTGCCACGAAAGAACCACGGCGCCTCTCGCCATGGTTTTATGGCGCTATTTCCGGTATATTTACAAGGTTATGTACCGGATTATAGGTCATCATGCGGACTTTTATCTACCTTTTTGGTGCTCCAGAAGTATGTGCAGCAATATGTTGCACAACCTGAATCCGCTACACACACACATATACTATTTTCAGGTTGTGCGCCATCTTGGTGCACATACTTCTGGAGGTCCCCTTTTACCTAACCCTAAAGCCAACCATATCCATATGGAAAATGTTCTAAATTATGGTACCCAAAATGTGTCACCAGCAGGGGCAGACCTGCCATTACAGCATTACTGGCTACATACGTTGGTTTGTGTTTTTAATTTGCTGCCGTGGTACTCCAACTCAAAACAAGGTGCCCCGAACTCATTGCAAAATTGTTTTCTGCTTCACACTGTTTCCCTCTGTTTTGCGCTCTTTTCCCACTGTTTTGCCCTGTTTCGCGCTCTTTGCGGTATTTCGCGCTGTATTCAGTAAGTAGTAAGACCGTACCGATACCGGTATGCAGTCATTCAGACTAGGCTTTGAACTCTGGTGCTGTAATTTGCTAATACTGCAATTTAACACAGAGTTTTTATATTTTCAGCTCTGGATGATCTGGCAACGAACTCCGATTACCACGGCCTAAATTTGTTATAACTGAGCTCATGATTCTCCAATCCAGTCTTTCTTGGAGCAACCTCCGAGACTTGACAAATATCCTATCTAGAATGAGTAAATAAGCACAATTATGAGAATACATTTAATAATGAAAAGGTTTCCATCCGTTGCAAAAGCTCTATGTTAATTATCGCGAGTATCTAATCTAAAATATACACATATGTGTTTTGTCCACATCGCATTCGTATAAAAGTGAACAATTTTAATATTGCAATCGGATCGTATTTAGACATTTAAATAATCTTCCTTGAACACGAAGCGAAAATATGGGGTATATTGTATTTCATACATAATTTCCAAGCGTGCATGCAGTCAAAAACAAAACGAAAAAAAATAAAAGGCACTCAATAAGATGAGACCCAGCAAAGGTATTTTCACCTATTTTACTTTCATGTTCTGTTTAGCTTTCGAATTAATTATGGAGTAATCTGCAATATTTTAACATTGTACTAAAACTAAACAAATATTCTGAATCTCAGAGATTTTTACATCGTGGTCTTCATACGATGGCATGTGTTACCGGTCAGCGAACTCTTTTAAATTAATTTTGCTTGCCCGCTGGGGTAAAAAGGTTCGGAACCACTGAACTAAACAGTTAAGTACAACCACGTTACACCAACGCCCCGCAAACTTATAGTCGATTTTCATCAGAATGATTAAATAGAATATTCAGAATAGAATAAATTGATTTTTAATGTTTTCTCGTTGTGGGGTCGCAAGTATCTGTAGTCTGTGATTTTACAAAAATTGGGGTCGCGGAAAAAAAAGTTTGGGAACCACCGCCGTAAAATGTCCGTAATCAGCCTATAAAAATATTCAACTTACGAGCCATTTTTTCATCCTTGAATGTATTCTGGATCAAAATGTAATCAGACAATGAATTGACAATGAATTTCATCAATTCCGGTATGTCTGAGTCCACATTATAATCAGTGGAAAGTTGCAGATGTCGTAGCTTGTAGCATAAGAGTTTCTACCGCCTGTCCCAACAATTTTTCCATGGACTGGATTGGAGCATGGCTTGATCTCTGAAAATCAAGTTAGTGTTACCCAATGTATGGTACATGATTGTCTTTCAGATAATAAACGTGAACGAATGGCCTATACTAATTACCAGAATATAAATTTTTTATTAATATTAATTAATTAATATTAATATTAATTAAATATTAACCGGCCAATAAGTCGGGGTAGTAAAATCGCATCAACGTCGGGAATCTTGAATTACCATGCAATGCTTTTCGAGCGATCGCCGCGTTTGCGCATTGGTTAAAATACCCTATATTGACTTTTTCTTGTAGCGTAATATTCAATCCATATATGATAATGCAAATATGATAATCACAGCATTGAAATTCCAGATTCACAGCACGAGAATGTCGATTTATTTAAACTAACCAGATGAGGACGTGGGGGATGCTATCGCCGAAGGTATTTTATTGTCCGGATTCAATAATAAGGCGACAAAAAAATGAAAATGATCATACTCGCCTAATAAGACGACCCCCCCCCCAAATCAGGCCAAAAATTTGGGTCTAGAAAAGCGACTTATTCGCCGGAAAATACGGTATTAACCACATGATGTTGTACTAGGTAATTATTCAACCGATATATCTAGCTATTGTGCAATATTTTATGGCACAGATAAGCAAGGAGCTTCTATCAAACTATAAAACAAAAAAACTTGTTTTGGGCATTGTCCGCTTTGAAACATTGAGATGCTTGAAATGACACAGTGCAGGGATGGCCAATTCGAATAAAGTATTCGAATGTATTCGAGTATCTCGTCATTCGTATATCGGAATTCACGTTCATAAGAATATCGGATATTTGTGTGACGTCACACATTTTCGACGCCGCTTCCAAGACGTTTCCGTTGAATGACAACATTCTCGATATAAACTTGCGCGTGATTGTTTTCATCATTCATCAGCGTAACAATTTATTTGGACCTGTAAACGCCTTTACGGTTGGTTATTTTCTATAAAACGAAAATTTTCCACAAATTTGTTCCACGATAACGATAACATTTATTTTATTTTTGTACGCGCACGGAATTGTGAATCTGGTAATACGTTCATCGGCGCGAGTTTCTAAAGACAACGCAACTTTTTGATAGAAAAGGGACAATTTAAAATACTGAAAATAAAACTGTAAACAATATAAGTTTTATTGAGGCCCGCGAAAATTTAAAAAACGCTTTTCTAGGCAGTGAAAATCGCAAAATTTCGTGTGCCTCTGACACACATTATGTTTGGTCGACGTTTAGAAATATATGGTCACTAATTTAGGGCGGGATTTGCCTGATTATCCATTAGGGCCCATTCACATCTGTTCACACCAGTGCGTTATTCTTTAATTGTTTAAGTAAACTTGCGTTGTTGCGTTAACGCATCATTTTGGCGCACTGCGTCAACGCAACGAATTCTCGAGGAAACATTCCTTTGCGTTGACGCGCTGCGTTGTCTGAGATTTGAGTTGAGTTCCGGTGCTTTGTTCTGTGGTTTGGCGATGGCTTTGAGCAAACATCAAAAATTGGGATTACTGTTGTGGCTGAAAAGACGCAAGGATAAAAAAAATAGATGCAAAAGAAGAAGGTGGTGGGTGCATCCTATTTTGCAGAGAAGAGAGACTAGAGGTACGGTACGGTACCAGTATTGCAGTATTTTCACAGTACAGCAGTACCGTAAAAGCGCCTAACTTCGGACAAAACTACTATATTTTCGTCAATAGCTCGGCCATTTATTGTCCAAACGGTGCCAAAATTGCTCGGTAAAACATTCGTGCGGTAATTTACATTCCCTGCAAATTTCGGTTCAATTGGACTATTTTTACTATTGAAATAATCGATATTTCTTGCCATCTGACCGTTATCCTTCACTGCCCTAACTTCGGACAGTCATTTTCTTCACTGCGTAACCGCGACGCACAGAGAGAAAGAGGCTTCCGATGCGGATGACGTAATCACGTCGTTGCGTGAAGATAAGACGCTCGATCGTTGTCGTAACGTAACATTGACGTCACGACGAAAATGCATTATTTGAAACTTCCGTCGTCCTATGTTCACATCTTTCGTTCGTTATTTTCGATACTTCAGATGAGTATAATAACACGTTAGTCATTTTAATCAGGAAATGCATACGTAAATATATCTGATGCAAACCGTTTCAATCCACAATGAAGTATTATAACGGGCTTCTATCGAAGTCTTTGAAGTATTAATATTCTCGACGGATAGCTTTTTTTTATTCTGCGCGGTTATCTTTATAAATGATAATTTATATCAAACACACGGTAAATCCGATTGTAAAGTTTAATTTAAAATTCAACTTAATCTTGTAAACATGTAGGTCCCGTTTATTTGTTGTAGATTAAATTTATTTTTAATTTCGGGTGAATAAAATTCACCCAGGCCGTATTCAATAACTGCCATTTCGACTACTAATCATAAAATAATGGTTAAGTCAGTGCACTGTGCCATATGTACGTTGGAATTATCATAGTTTTATATATTCGATTTTTAACGTCATCGATTAAGTGTGACATGTATTTTCATTAATGTAATTTTGGCATATATTCATACATGACCGAACAAAATACAAAAATATTACATTGGAACGCCGTCTTTATCTTAACGGAAATTTTCATATTGGCTCCGTTGTGTCTGGCGTCAAAATTCATTTCCGCGACGCAGTGTGACGTCGTGTCGGAAGTGAGCGAAAAATAATCTACGTGAGGTTGACGTAATTTTTGACGCTGCGTGAAATCTTATTATTCTTACGGAATTTATAATTCAGAATTTTAGGTTTTATTTAAATCTCGTACGACATCTTGCGATCACTCAAATAAATTATATACATTGTTGTCGCCCTCTACCGAATGATGGTATTTTGACGATGATAGCTTCAGTAGGAGCGACGATCTGCGCCGTTGAATGCCGGCAGTCATTTTCGGCAAAATTTCCGTTTTTTTTACCAAAAATAATTATGCAACATTAAAAAGATGAGAATAGATGTAGATATAACAGCGCAACCTATAATAATTAAAATTAGCAATATACGACGCGTTTTAGCCAAGATATGGCCGTTCAAAAATTTTGTCCGAAGTTAGGAACTGTCCGAAGTTAGGCGCTTTTACGGTAGGTAGGCCTACCGTACCCCAGTACGGTACCGTACCTGGGTACGGTACGTATAAGACTGCACCGTATTTCTAGCCGTTTGTAATAAACAGAATTTGCTACTTACATGGTTCTAGATTTAACAGTTAACATACCATACTAGCCCTTTAGACCGGTGCCATATTCCAGTATTCAGGTATTTGATCTAGTTCAGTAGTTAAAAAGCTGAAAGGTGTTCTGACAGTCTGGACAGTGCTTATCATAGTACTGTAGTATTACGGTACCCTCTACTGATAGTCTACAGCTCATTTTAGTGCAAAAAGTAGTATTTGAGAGGTTTGAAAATATATATCATATTGAATGATTACCGGTACCTTAACGGGTAATATCTGAATATTGTAACGTTAACAGGCGAGTACCACAGGCTTTTGAAAGAGATGAGATTGGAGAGGAGAAGCTATTTTGAGACCTACCTCCGCATGTCAGTCGAAGACTTTCAAATTTTAATAACTTTAGTTGGGCCTGTTTATAAGTAAACAAGCTACAGCATTCAGGAAGCCGATACCACCAGAAGAGAGAATTGCAGTAACATTGAGGTACATTAGCTGATAAGTTAGCAAAAGCGGTTCATTATATCACTTTGTGAAACCAAAAATATGGATGAGCTATTCAGAAGTTTATGTCTATTGATATAACAGGTTAAGAAACACTTATTCAGATAGCAAATACAAACATTTGTATATCCAGGGATAAACATCACAGTAATCAGCTTGTATCTGATAATAATGTTGCACTCGTGTTAGCCATTGGCCGCATATAAAAATATGTTTCCATTTTATGATAGACTATTATTTATAAATTCATTCACACATAGCATATTTTGTTATTTATTATTACATAATGTGTCAATTGCTTTACTTTATCTTTCATTTTTCAGATTCCTTAGCTACTGGCGATAGCTATAGAACTTATAGCTAACAGCTATCGTCTTGGCATATCAACTGTGAGGCAACATTGTCTCAGAAACATGTTCTGCAATATTGGGATGCATTGAGAGGGATTTCCTCAAATGCCCATCAATTGTTCCGAATGGACTGAGGTTGCCGATGTTTTTCACAAAAAATGGCAATTTCCGAACTGTTGGGCCTATTGATGGAAAGCATGTTGTTGTAAATGTCCTAGCAATGCTGGATTGTTGTATTACAATTACAAAAAACGCGAAGCATTGTGCTCCTGGCTATCGTTGATGCATGGTAAATATTAAACCTGATTTTGTATCACACTATTTGTATTCATAGGTTAAACAATTTTTGTAACTTACCACTTGTGGTTGCTTTCTATGAATGGCTAAATAAATTAGAAACCAATTATTTCCCATATTATGTGGATTATACATGGGCATTTATTCCAAACAGTGCCATCAAGAATTCAATGAAATTCATATTTTTTCAGTTATAAATTTCTTGCGGTGGACATTGGCGCTATGGCAGAGCAAGCGATGGGGAATATTTGCGAACTCATGTTTTGGCCGTCGCCTGCAGAATGGAACCTTGAGTCTACCCTCACCAAGGTGGGTTATTTAAGCTAGTAGTCCACCTAGACTTGAAAATGACTGCTGATGTTTTTTTCTATAACGAAACAGGCTATGATTTTCTTTACACCTAAGTAATAAAGGTTATTATTTTAACAACTTAGTAATAACCCATAAAAATGAAGCATGTTTATGCAGAAAAACCTCCTACCTAAACCTCATTTTGTATTTCTGCTAAATAGGGCAAATTTATTTTTCAGGCCATTGCCAGTAACGGATGGACCTACTGTTCCGTTCGTATTCATTGGGGATGAAGCCTTTCCCTTTGAAAGAAAATCTGATGAGGACCATTTCCTGGCAATGGTCTCTCGCAGGAGAAA